AAAAAAAAAAAAAAAAAAAAAAACGAAAAAAGAAAAAAAAAATGTTATACTTTGCGGTTCTTGTAAGTTGCTTGTCTCTTGTGTTACTTTTGTTTTTGTAGTTTTAATCATATCAATTTTGTCTTTTAATTTTTTACATTGTATTAGTCTAATTGATAAGACGTGTAAAGAAATTTGACATATCATGGATAAAATAATTCATTCAAACAAGAATGGATCATTTTAATTGAATATCAATCTCTTAATCAGTTTGAAAAAAATAAATGAACTATTTTACCCATTAATTAATCCAATTTTTAAACAAAGTTTTAATTGAACAAATTGACACACTATAAAAAATTTGAGGGAAAATTATTCAATTAAAATTATAAAAACCAAATTGACACAACTTACAAACTATATAGACTATCAGTATAATTTATCAAAAAATAAGAAAATCATAAATGAAAATGTAAGTAATATTTACCAAAAAACAAAAATGACAGAAAATTAGTGTAGGTTAGGTTGCACTTCTTAGAAGGGGCCGTTACCTTCAAAAAAAAAGAAAAAAGAAAAAAAAGGCTTTTCTTAAATTGCTATTTTAATTTGAGGGAGTGTTTGAGCTTGGTAAGTCTATTTTATGATTAAGCTCGATAATCCGAACCATTTACTTTTTAGAATTTATTGCCTAAAATATGAATAATGTTATATGCACCAATTAGTGTATTAACTAGTGTACCAACCCTAGTTATATAGTATTATTAACGCTTACTCATTAATCACATTATAAATCCCAAAAATCTCTTAAATTATGCCACATCATTGATTGATACATTAGTTAGTACACTAATTGGTGCATGTAGCACTACCACTAAAATATTCATGTAAGAAATTCAGATAATTGGAAATCGGTAGTTATATATCTGAATCATATATATATATATATATTTAAATGGATGATAAATATAATTTCAAGAATAGTCTTCTAATTTTTGTAATATAAATTTGATTAAATGAATCTCAAAAAGTGAAAGGCTCGAATCACTGAAATTGATTCCAAAATGGACCTACCAAACCCAAATGATCTTTTAATTTGAAATGACCAACTTAAAAATAAATAAATCCTCAAAGGTGGCCGTGGCCCTCTTTGGCCCAATTGTGCCTTCGTCCCTGGACATGCCTATGGAGAAATATTAATATCATGGTCATGTTATAAACCGTTCATTGTTCACACACAATTGAGTAAGTGACGCTCCATATGGCACTTAATAATTTTCATTCAAAATAGGCCAAAACCTACTCAATTCTTTTGGGTTAAAATTATCATTTTTATTTGATTGTTATGGATAATGAATGGGTTCATTGAGTAAGAGCCCAAGGGATTGGTTCCTCGTGGGCTATATATTGTTTGCTTCAAACTCACTCGTCTTGACATTCCCTGTTTCGACTTGGACTTCTTGTGTTATTAGAACGATTTGATTCTTTTTCCTTGCTACACTAATTGCAGCCATATTTTTTGTAATTTAAAGTATTAAATAAGTGAAATGACATACAAATATAAAAATATATACATAATTTGTATATAAAATGATATAATTTCATTGAATGAGAGTTTTTATTTGCACACCACAATTTAGCTCCATACATATCTTTTTTTCAATACACACTGCAACACTAATTTCATTTTTTGTTATTTTCTCAACTTGGACCACCTTATGTCCAAAATATCCTGACCCTAAACCTATGCACCTGCCAACCCAACCATCAGCTCCGATTGCACCCTTTCGGCCATTGCCAACTTCGGTAACCACCCCTACTCTTGCCCACCTTTCCACAGCCTGTACCGATTGTCGTCATCCCCCCTACACTTCTTCAGCCCTTCTCTACCTCAACCCCGCCCCACACTGCTACCTCCACAACTCCTCTTTACCATCACCGCAACCCTAGCGACTGCCACTCCCAAACTTCATGGCTGCCACCACAACCCTTATCATGGACTGAGATTGATCAGTTGATCTAGAGAGAGAGAGAGAGCGAAGAAGAAGAGAAGAAGAGAGAGGTCACGATGGCGCGAGGGAAGGGCTGAGGGTTGCATTGGTGTGATGGAAGGGAGAGAGGTCGTCAGGGCGTGTTGGCAGTGCCCTGCAATCTCTCTTTTTCAATCGCCTTGGGGCAGCGCTGTCCTGAAAATGAGCGATGATGGATAGTGGGGTTGTGAAGGGAAACTAAGGAAGCTGAAGGAGGTATGGGTTTGGGGAGTGCGTGGCGGCAGTGGTGAAGCCAGCACTACAAGAAATTGTACTTTTGGCGACTAAATTTTTAGTAGCCAAAAGTAAGGTTTTTAGTCGTCGAAACATTTTTCCGACCAAATATTTTGGTTGCTGGATTTGTCGCGGGAAGATTGTCGGGGAAGGTATTGGCGACTAAAAAAAATTTTGGTCACCAAAGTCCTACAAAATGGTGATTAATGCTTTAGTGGGCAAAACTAAAAGGTATTCGTGACAAAATGAATTTAGTCGCTGATGAGGAAAATTGGCGACTAAACTATTAGTCGCCCAAGGGATACTAAATTTAATTTAAATCACATCTTCAACTACTAATTTTTTTGTCGCCAAAACTTCAAACTACTAATTTTTTTGTCGCTAAAACTTCAAATATCTACGGCAACCAAAGTTTTAGTCGCCAATAGTGTTGTTTTAGCTACTAAATGTTTAGTCATGGAAAGTCTGATTACTTGTTCAGCTACTACACAGTTTAGTCGGCAAAAGTCTAATTTTTTTTCGCCACCAAAGGTTTTGTCACCTATGATATAATTATTATGTTTTTGGCGACTAAATTTTTAGTCACCAAAAGTGTTTTTCGTTTTAGTTACTAAATTATTAGTCGCCTGAACTGTTTTCAGTTCTTTTTGGTTACTAAATATTTAGTCGCCAAAAGATTTAATTCTTTTTTCGCTACTAACTTTTTAGTCACTAAAAATATTTAACTCAATTTTTGGCTACCAATTGTTTTGTTGCCAAAAACATCATTTTGTGTTTTCATTTTTTTTTTTCATTCTAATATAGTTTTCCACAATCTGTATGTATCCGCCGCAACCTGTAATAGGTATACAAACAAAACAATATGTATATATTATCACCTATTCCATAACGCATATTTTACTTACAACCATCAAAAAAGAATACTTTTTAATGTTAACTTACATACAAACCAACTATATATATTCTAATTACAAATAATGTCATACATAACAAATACATTATCAAAACAATATCCTCCGTACACAAAAAATATTTTTACTATACTATGCATTGTAATGACCATTTGGCATGGTATAAATTACCATGATAATATGTACCATGACAAAAGGTAATCTATATATACCACGGTAATAAAATCATTAACCATGTCAAAAGTATTATCTACCCCGCCAACAAATCTATGTACAATTCATCCAAATTCCACACAAAAAGCAGAGGATGACAAAAAACTTCCTAACTGTTCAAAAGTATAAATTATCCTCTGTACAAAAAAATGGAAGATCCACATGTCAATGCCAAAAGCTATCTACAAAACAAAAATTACACCCATTAGTTCCATTGTATACAAAAATTACAGCCATCTACAAAACAAAAATTGCAAGAATGTCAATTGTAATTGAAATTGTATTTAAATAAAGTTTAAATTAAGGAAGTAATGATTAAAATTTTTTAACTTCTCAAACTAGGGCTCATAAAATGAATTTTCAAAAATGGGGAGTTGGAAACATAAAATGAGATGGAGAGAGTCTTATAAAATTTTAATTATCACTCTTGTGGACAAAACATCGATTTTTCTGGCATCCTAATTTCCATTATTGTAAACAGAGAATAATGTTTTGTTGTTTCCCACTTTTAAAGTCTTGTCAATTTTCAATTTTCCTCACAATACAATTGTCTCAATTAAATTATTTGGATTATTGCTTCTGTAAGTTGCTTTATCGGGTTTGTAATCAACTATTTTTGTTAACTTTAGCTCCTATGTTGAATCACATATTATTTTTTTTTCTTTTTTTTTTCTTCTGAATTCTTGATTTCTGACATTATTGTAACATTTAATATGCTTCTAGGCTTTTGGAATTCAATGCAAAACTATATGTATAACATTTATATTGAATGGAATTACATAGAATAGAACATATAGATAGAAGTTTAGTTAAATGCATTGGTACGGTTTCTCACAATCAAACGATACACAATGCATAGATATATTATTTGCGAGTTTGCATTCACACCTCAGAAATGTAATCTGACCAAAACACATAGTTTAGCTACACCATTTAAATACTCATTTACTCCCTAAATTACTAAGTACTTAACACACAAAATTGGGTGCTACTTTTATCATTTTTTGTCAATTAATCCACAATTTTAGTTATTCCATTGTTAGACTTGGGAAAGTCTCAAATAGGTTACAATTCAGATGGGTTCGGTTGAGTTGAGAGTTTATTCAAATTTAGTCTAAAGTGTAAAGAAATTTCCCAAGTCAAGTTTAGTCTAAAGTGTGAACATATATATATATATATATTATTCATAAAACTACATATATAGACATGCTTATAGAACATATATATATTTATAAGCTTTATGGCGTTTTTCACACTAACTCCCAACGTATGAGTGCTAATTACGTCTTGTCTGTCCTCACAGGTCCTACTTGACATGAGGAAGCCACCCGTGCCATCCATAGAGTGGTTTAGGGGTTGAATTGAATTTTCGTCCCTCAAAGGCATTTTTCGGCTAATTTTATGGCGTTTTTCACGCCAACTCCCAATGTACATGTGCTAATTACATCCCGTCTCTCCCCACAGGTCCTATTTGACATGAGGAAACTACCCATGGCATTCATACAGTGGTTCGGGGGCTGGGCTGCTATTAATTTCCGACTCCGAAAGGCCTTTTTCGGTTAAGTTTATGGCGTTTTTCACGCCAACTCCCAACTGCTATGTGGTTCAAAAGAAAGCAAAATTACGTATCACAATATAAGAATAAGAAAAAGCATATATGGAAGATATATATATATATACATATATATAATTATTGATTTCTTAGTTGAATTTTATCATGGAGCTTGCTATAGAGTAGTATGCTTGCATTGATTTGAGTGTAACTTTAAATTTAGTTGGAATAATGATTTGAACATGCCTACTCAAACTTGAATGTATGGGTGTATATATGCGCCACTTAGGGTTTAACTATTAAATTCGTTCAATATTATTTTAAACCTTCATCGTCTTAGGTAAGCAATGGCTTCTAATAAAATAATAAATTTTTTGTAACCAAAATATTTTGAATTACAGAGTTGTTTGGGGGGTTAAATGTACGGAAAAGATTATGCCCTGATTTGATTTTCGTTGGACCATTGAGCTTCATTTAATAGACATAAAAGGATAGAGGTTAAATTACTGGTGTGAATATAACAGGGTTTGGGATTTTTTTTTTTTTTTTTGGGTAGGTATGTGGATTCGTGGTTGTTGATTTGTACTTTAAATGCATTTGTTCTTTCCCATGAATTTATTCTTCTTGTTACATTTTTCGCCCTCCAACTGTTTGATGTAATGCCTGAATCAAAAATTTATTTGTCTCTGCTCATCTTCTTCTTCTACTTCTTCTGTTGTATTCTGAAGTCACATATTGGTTTGGGTTTTAATATTTAATAAATTTACTTGTTATTCCTCTAGACCCAAGAAAGAATATCATGAAACAAGAGAGAAGAACTCATACACATTGATTGTGTATTTATTTGCATGTATGGCTGCTAAAATGTGATTGTAAAGCAAAGTTCTGATCATTTTCTTCCACTCCTGTCTGAAGGAAAAAAAGAGAGCAGATTAATTTGAGAACAACTCATACACAGAGAGAAATATTCTTGGGATTTTACCTAGTCTCGATGCTAGATATACAAATTTGTATGTGAAGAATTTTGATCTAGATGTCACAGAAGAACTTCTCAAGAAGAAGTTCTCTGAGTTTGGTAAAATTCTCAGTTTAATTATCTCAAAGGATGAGTATGGGGCCTCTAGAGGTTTAAGATTTGTGAATTTTGACAGTGCAGATGACACCAAGAGGGCAATAGAACTATGAATGGATCACAACTTGGTAGGTTATGTTTTCTTAATGAAACTAATTTGCTGAAAAGATCAAAGTTACTGAGTTTTCAGTGGCATGTTTTATGTAGGTTCCAAGGTTATCTATGTTGGTAGAGCACAGAAGAAAGAAGAGCACGAGTAGATTTTACGTCGTCAGTTTGAAGAGAAACGAAAGGAGCAAATAACAAAATGCCAGGTATCCTTGCTACTTATTTTTCTCATTGGGAGGGATTACATACTTTTATTTTAATTTTTCTTTTTGGGGTAAAATTTTATTGTCCACTTTTTAATTGTATGGTTCAAATGTCTAGGTCAAGAATTTTGATGATGATATCACTGATGACAAGCTGCAAGAACACTTCCACCAGTGTGGCACGATCACCTCTGCAAAACTAATGCGAGATGAAAAAAGAACCAGCAAGGGGTTTGGGTTTGTCTGCTTCTCAACACCTGAGGAGGCCAATAAAGCTGTGAACAATTTTCATGGTGAGTACCATGAATATATAAGCTTACGGATGCGATGTAGATGTCTTTGAATTAAGATACATTAACATTCTTTAACTTGGCCATGCAAATTGGTTGATATGTTTTGATCTGAAAGAAACTATTATGCTAATGTTTAATTTTGTATAACGGAATAATATAAATTGCCATTTGAATAGTATATGTAACTGTGGATAATGGAATAGTGTATCATTAACACAACTAGGTTTTCGTTCCTAATTTCAAATTTGATAACAATTTAATCTTTTTATTTTGGAGAAGCAGGGTTCCTTGAAAGTTAGAAGAAAATTTCTCTCTCTGTATAAATCGAAAATTCCTTGAAAGTTATGATTTAGTGTACCCTTGTTATGATTTTACAAGTGAAATGGTTGATAGTTTAGGTCATTATTGGCTTTAGTTCAATAAATTTGCTGCAATATGATGCATATTTGTGTGATCCACCAATGATGTATTCAGATTTACTAAATAATCTTTTTTTCCGTTCCATTTTCTGAAAAACTCATCTAGGGGCTTTCATGACTGACTTTGTCCAAATCCCAGTATTTGAGGTTGAGAGCTCTTCAACGGCAATCCTATACACATTACTTCTATGAAGCTATTGTTGGAGCTGGGCTTCCAATCATTAACACTTTACAAGGTCAAGATATTGTGGATTGAAGGCATTTTCAAGTTGGTCATACTGGTTTTCTTAACTAATAAAAACGAAAAGTTATTGATATATGATTGATCACTGTGGCTAACCAAGTATCTAAGATGTCTTTGCTTTTCTAGGAACCCAAACAAGAACCATATCAGGTAATATATCTGTCCTTAACATAATGATTCTTTTTTTAGTTAGTCAATTGTTTTAACCATATACCTGTCCTTTTTTTTTTTCCAAGTAATATAACTGCTTTCAATTTCCGGTCCCGAAAGGCCTTTTTCGGCTAAGTTTATGGTGTTTTTCACGCCAACTCCCAACGTACACGTGCTATTTCCATCCCGTTTGTCCCCACAGGTCCTATTTGACATGAGGAAACTGTCCGTGCCATCCATACGGTGGTTCAAAAGTGACGATAGCATGTTGATTAATTAACAATTGATTAATCAATAGTTAATTAACTACTTAATGAACCGATTTAGCTGAAACAGAGGCACATTTGGTCATATAGTGGGCTTTCAGTTTTACTTTCGAACCTAACTGTGTTTTAGAATGGATGGGGGGCCACCCCCAATGCCTAACATAGCTTAACAATTACAAATTGCAATTACATGCAGGAGCTAAACAGATGAAACATCACGTCAATAGATACAGACCTCTCCCCTATTTCAGAAACCAACCTGAATTTTTAAACCCTAAAATCATTAATGTACTCCACTTATTAATCTATGTCATTACCCTAATAATTTATTAAATGGTGTACATATATGACGCCTATCCAATCCAAACACAATTCTATTATAAACATAGAAACAAACATATAATAGCAGCAAAGAAGTTGAACTCACTAAATTCAAAATCATAGATGGAATTTGCAGTGGTGATGGGTTATTGTGCAGGTGGTGCTGAATTAAGAGAACTTACATGCAAGTCCTAATAAAAATTGGCACAACAAAATGTCACTAATCGTCTTTTGTTAGAACCAACTTTCATGAAGAATTGATAGGACTTAATGAAAATTAAGTCTAAGTGGATAAACACTTTGTCCTTTGCAAGGGTGGAGAGGCTAATTCCAATAAGTGCTAATCAAACGACTGATTTTCACCGATAAATATATATATATATATATATATCAAGCTAAGAGAAGCATCGAAAGGATGCGGTAAACTAACACCTTCCTTAAACACAATGGTAAACCTCTGAATTCAACTATTGTTTTCTCAAACCAAAACTTTGAGTTATTTAAGAGTTAAACATACTCAAAACAGGGTTTAAATATTATATTTCGAATAATATTTGCAAATAGACAGTTCTATCTCAGCTTTTATTTGGTTTACAGTAATTGATTAGCATGAAATTAAGATTGTTTCATATCCATTAGTGCATGCGCGCATACCTAACGCTTGGAAATATCTAGGCACAAAATGTCATATGCAAATTATAGTTTAAATTCGTGTTAATTGCAAACCCTTATGATATTTTAAATTAGTGATGTTACAAATCAATGCAACTATAATTTTTTATTTTTTTTTAAAAGTTAATGAAGGAAAAAAGTAAGTACATAGGGTATGCACATTTTTTTTGAATTATTTTTTAAAAATTATTTCTACTTTGCAACATTGTCATAGTTTGTTTTCTGCTTGATATATAAGCCCAGACAAAGAATAATTTATGTGGGGAAAAAAAAGGGCCAAAAAAAAAAAAAAAATCAAGAAGGGTTGCCACCACCATAGAATCATCATCTAGACAGTTCATGGTCTCACAGTCGTGGCAAGACAGACACCCAAGAAACTAAAATATATTCAGCAAACCTAGATCTGATGAGATGGCCATTCCACGGCAATCAGAAGTAATCAAGTAAAAATTATGCAAACAATATCATCACTATCTGGTAGCAAATAAAAGAAGACGTCATGAAAGCCCACTTTTTAACAAAATCATAATACATAACTTTATAAAACTCTATTGGATAATACTATACCTTTAACACAACATAAATATTCTCACAATATATACCACAGCCAACAATTTATAGTTAATTGACAATTTTGCAATCAAAGTTCACTAATTCAGTGCCTAGGGGTAGTTTTGTTTCCAGCTGCTTGGCACGTTCTCTAGCAGCATCATTTTCCTCACCTATTAGGTCATTTAAATCACACTCAAGTCAAAGGAGTCCATGGGTGCTATAATTTTGCACCCAAACCAGACCAATGAGTGTGGAGAGACAGAGCAACAAGTCGGAGTCCAACAAGATCCCAAATGTTTGATATTGCACTATATTTTTTTATTTGGATACCTAGCATTTGTAATATGAGAAACTTGTTCTTCTCAATTGACTCTGAAAAACCTAACACTCAAGATTGAAATTTCAACAATCCAAAATCTACAATCCAAAATAAAACCACTTTAACCAAACCCATTTACGAAATCAGATAAAGCCCTAAAAAATCATTTACGAAATCAACACAAATTGAAAGGAAAAAAATATATAAAACCCCTACAGAAAGCGTGAGCAATGGGGAAGGGAGAGACAAGGAGAGAGAGAGAAAGAGCGAGACTGGATTGACAGAGATGGAGAGAGACTGAGAGACAAGTACCTGTAATCAGTGGTGGTGCTGATTTGCAGTGATCGAGGTGGCGAGCACCGGTGGCTAACGAGGGTAATGATCGGCGGTGGTGAGCGACGGTGAGGTTTGGTATCAACTGCTGTCTATGTTGGAGTGTGAGACATAACAAAACCGAAATGTGTTTTTCTGTAAATGGGATACTGGGCGCGAATATTAATGACTTTCCCTCTAAATTTTTTTTAAGCTTTAGCGACTAAACGATTATTTGTCGCAAATACTCATTAACGACTAAATATTGGTTGCCAAAGGTAACATTTTTGGCTACTAATGTTTACTTTCGTCGGCAATCTTTAATATACAACGACTAAATAATTTTTTGTCGTCAAAAAATGTGTCATTTTTTTGCGACTAAATTGGTTTTTGTCGGCAAATGACAATATACGTCGACTAAATGAAGAATTAGTAGCGTAAAATGACAACAAACACCGACTAAACCTATTTTTGGTCGCCAATAAGAATTCTATGTCGACCAAAATAATATAGTAGCTAAAAAATGCGATCAACACCGACTAAATCAACTTTTGGTCGCCCAAAGCACTATTTTTGGCGACTAAAATTGTTTTGGTCGCCAATTTTAGTTGTCAAATGTGTAGTTTCTTGTAGTGCAGGAATTCAATGAAGAAGATACAAATTAATGATAATATTAATTTTTTTTTATAATAAACAACAATGAGATATTACTAAACTTAAATATTAATAGTTCATTTGAATAAATGTGAATTTCAAATTAAAGGATTTGGAGAGTAACTATTTTATAGGTGGATTGGAAATTAAAAAAGAAGATAAGTTAATATAGAAATGATATATTTTAGTAAAGAAATTCTATAAAACATACCACAAAAAAAGTGTCCATCATATGTCGCAATTATGATCTTTGTGGTCTTTAGTTATAACACATTATAGTGTTAGATATAATTTAGTTATAACTTCTTGTAGTGATTATTTTGGTTATGACTATACATCAAGTAATAGTTAATTATGACTCATTTTGATATTAATTATGACCTATTATAATTTTTATTTATTTATTTTTATTTTTTTATAATTGAAGATGTGTTGCTTGATTATAATTTATAGAGTGGTCATTTTAGTTATAAATGGAAAGAAACACATGGAGGATAAACTCCACATATCATATATAACTAACAATTCAATAAACTACATATCTTTATTGAAATTAATTATATTTGCATGTCAATTATGATAGACATCACCATTATATTAAAATTTTCATAGATAATAATATAACTTATCATAGTCTTTTTATTTTCAATCAAAATAACCATTATTGTTCTCATAATTTTAAAAATGTCATTAACATTTCACTTTAAATAATATTTTTATAATTTTTTTTATTTAAAATATTTTCTTTATATTTAAAGAAAAATCCCAAAACTCAGAGGGACATGTGACCCTCCTAGGCCCTATGTGCCTCCGCCACTAGGTGGCGGTGACTGGCAGTTTTGGGAGAATGAGAAAGGTGTTTGAAAAAACTAGGAGATATGAGAAATACAGGCTTAAATATGAGATAAGAAAAGAAAAGAAAAAAAGATCGTGGAATTTCTCATTATTTGGATAATTTATGAGTGAATTGGAGAAAAAAGAGAGAACAATTTTTTTTCTTTTTCTTGTTTGGGATAGAAAAGAAATAATGTTTTATAATGTAAGCAAGTGCTCAAAATCAAAAATCACTTTTCAAAAAAAGGTAATGGCAAAATTGATTATTGGTTATTTTTGACACTTTGAAAGATAGAAATATAGTTCAAGCGTACCAGTAATGATCTGAAAACTCTTTATAAATAATAAATGTCAGTTTTATCAAGCGATTGTGTAAAGGCTCTCTTAGCTTCAATGTAGAGGAATTTATTGTGTTGTGTTGAAAGATATAACAAAGCTTTAACTCAAATTTGTAACAGAATAGGAGGGAGAGACTGGGCAGAAATTATAATTGATTAATTAAATAAACAATTACAAAATATTACCTTTAGTAAGAACAACTTTGAAACTTTTAAATCAACCGGATTTTGTAATTATAAGGCTAATCTACTCCTATGGAACGTAAGTGCAG